ACACACACACACACACACACACACAGACAACCTTTCGTCAGTATGCGTTTTCTGCATTGCATAGCTACAAAAAACGCATAAAAGACATGAAGGCAGAAAACTGATTTCAGATCTGCGATCCTAAATCTGGTTGTCATTGAAAGTCTTGATCTGTTAGTTTGCTTAGGATGAAAGACCCAGAACGCAAAGAGAGTGGCCTGTCACAATGAACCTATGCATATATGATGCATGCGAAATAAAAATACCATTAACACCAAGATCCAAGGGCAGTCGATTTGGGAAATTGTATGTTAGTCGCGTCACTGATTTCCATACACGCCATCAGTTATACCAAGCTTTCGATCCTATAAAGTATATACCAGGCCCCTCGCAACTGAGATTTGCAGCACCACTACTTTCATTTGTGCAAAAAAAGATTTGTTCTGCTTAAGAGTTGAGGGATGCGAATGTGGAAGCAGTAGTGGAGACACTGATCCATCGAACGATCAGTTTTGAATGTCCGATAGCGACAACTTCAGATGCGGACATTTCGTGGACCAAAGATGATGTACCGCTATTTCCTGGACTTGACGACCATATACAGGTGATGGTAGTTTAAAAGTGCAACCAAAATCTTTGAAAATCAAATTTTCGTTAATGACGACAGAAACAGCGAAGAAACAAAAAAATGTTAGAAATATGAGAAAGGTGTAACATAGCTGCGCCTGTCTCATGAGAGTATGCAGTAGCATCGCTAACATGGGATCTACACCGCGGTCTTCGTATTCATGGCAAGAAATAACAGAAAACTATGTTTTCTAGATAAACCTCTTCAAAAAAGTTTTCTGAACTGCTGACGTGGAAAATTTGGTGCAATTGAGATGCAGAGAATAGTCAAGTGTGATTATACATTGTTGTATTTGGCCAAGCTATTTCTTAATTTCTAAGAAAGCTATCTCTTCTAAGCTTTTTCAACCACTGGCGTAAAGCCGAGGATGAAAGCGTTTTTTCCCAAAAAGTCATCCAAAAACCTTGATTATTCAGATTCTGAATGCTGGACGACAGCTGGTGATCTCAGGTGTTCAGCGTTACGATCAGGCAATATACACATGCGTGGCTCGTAACAAAGCTGGCGAAGCGTACAAAAATTACAAGCTCGTCGTGCTGGGTTGATTATCTTTACTTTCAGAAAAAATAAATATCGTACAAAAACACTGTATATAAATTTATTTTAAAACTAATTACTAGGGCCTTCCATACAATCAATGCGGAAATCCGATGCTCGCGACGTTACTGAATTGCCTCCATGCGCTGAATGTTACTATGTAGGGCTTACTGTTGAGTTGCAAACCTCTAGTTAGTACCACCGCTTGTTCGTTCCAAGTGCGCCACATTTTCGGAAGCCTCCTGATAGGTTGTTTAGTTCTTCGCGTGATCGCATTTGATGTCCTGCATGCCTCTCATCTGACGATCAGTCTGACTGCTTACATAGTCACGAGGAGACAAAGCACTGTGGAGTATAAATATAAGGAATCACACATCTGTTCTTGATGCAGGCACTTTCCTGAGATAAACATTTGATTGCGTGCTTTTAATTTTTTTAGCTCAACTTTTTTGCAGTACCACCGGCGATCGTTGGCACCGGAGGGCAGTTTAAAGTAATTGAAAATAACTCGCTTATTTTGCCATGTGAGGTTGAAGGTCAACCTTTTCCAGCAATCACGTGGACAAAGGTTCTGTCTCTTTTTGCAATTATTCGTAAATATTCCTTAAAAATTTTCAGCATAAAACTGCATTGCTTAGCAGATTTTGTCCAAACTTTATCAACAGTTGCCGACCACGACTTAGTAAGGAGTAGCGTTGTTCTCGTTCTAAAGATTAACGTTTCGACTCCCTCTGTTCTTCCATGCTTCGTACATTCGTTTGGATGATAAACTGATACGGGCGCATGCCAGGAAGTCGAACCTGTCATCAGTATCCTCAAAAGAAGTCATAGCTTTGCCAGTGGGTGGCTGCTGTTTGGCTTGTATCACAGTTCAAACTGTCTTGCAAGATGTCTTAGCCGTTGTATAGAGGAAGCGTTACGGCGGAAGATTTCGAATTTTGTTTAAGTTTTTTTAAAACCATCCTTAATCTTAGATACTTTTGTCGGCTGTAATTCATTTCTGATATTCCAGCACTTTGTCTAGTCGGTTGGGCAGTACTGCTTCATTTAGTGATCAGCTTGCTGACTTGGCGTTCATTTCTTCTCCTGTAGGTCTTACTATCTCAGCAATTCTCCCAACTTGTTTTAAGGCTTCAGTCGTTCCAAAATGTCCTTGGTATGTATTTAGCAGCACTTTTAGATTCTTATCCAAAAACCGCTTTATTTTTACTACAGATTTTTGAGCATTCTCTCCGAAAACTAAGAAATGCAGATATATTGTAAGTGAAAATTTCTCTGTGATGAAAAGTTTCGGGCTGTTGACAACATATACCTGTAATATCCTAAACTGAAAAATTCGGTTTGCTGAATGTCGAACTTGCAGGATGGCAAGCCGGCACTGCAGCTGCGCTCGGTGCAAGCGCTTTCAGAAGGGCAACAACTGAAAATTGTGAGTGCTGCGCGACAACATCGCGGATCGTACATGTGCTCGGCGGAAAATAAAGTTGGAAAAGCTGAAATCACTTTTGACGTCGATGTGATCAGTAAGTTTCAGCGTATGTGCTTCATCTAATTCATTTTTTTTGGTGTTCCTGGACAGTGCTAGAGGAAAAACACGGAGAAAATGGTGATCAGCAGTCGCTTCCCACAAAAAGCATCCTGTTTTCGAGAGGGAGTAAAATAATTTGAAGAGAAGTTAATCCCTGCCTCTTTTTTTCGCTTCCACTACTCCTTCTGCTCCTTCTACCTTTTCGTCTTTTTCCGTTGGCCTGATGTTGCCGTCTTTTTATGCGTTTTTTGCAGCTATGCAATGCGAAAAAGCATATTGACGAGAGGTTGTCTGTGTGTGCGCAGGGCGTCTGTACCGATTTTTCATCTCGAGACCGGGAAAAGCTACAGGACTGAAACTTTGGGGTCTTAATCTATGTGCACTTTTGGGCCCTCATTCCCAAAGTGGGCGGTCTTACCCGCGTAAGAGCCCGCCAAAGTTTTTTACAAGTAAGTTGCTAACTCGCGAACCAGAAAAGCTAGAAAGCTGAGATTTTAAGGAGTTGTCCCCCATCCAAGTAGGTATTAATGAGCTCAAAACCAATCCTCGGGAAAACGTGGCACCCACGTACGAGCCCGGCAAAATTTTTTTACGGGAAGTTGATTACTCGCGAACCAGAAAAGCCAGAGAGCTGAAATTTTATGGAAATGTTCCCCATCCAAGTAGGTACTGATGTGCTCAGACCCAACTCCCGGGTAAGCGTGGTACTCGCGTACGGTCGCGCCAAAATTTCTCCCGCGTAAATTCATAACTCGGGGTCCTGAGATGCTAGAAAGCTGAAATTTTAAGGGAATGTTCCTCGTCCAAGTAGGTACTAATGAGCTCAAACTCATCCCCCGAGTAAATGTGGTACCCACGTACGGGCCCGCCAAAATTTCTCCCGGGCAAGTTCATAATCGGGGGTCTGAGATGCTAGAAGACTGTAACATTAAGAGGGTGTTTCTCGTCCACATTATTCTCAATGAGATCAAACCCAGCCCTTGGTCATGCGTGGTACCTACGCACGGATTCACCAAACTTCTCGGGTAAGCTCATAACTCGAGAACCTGTGAAGCTAAAAGACTGTAGTTTTAAGAAGATGTTCCCTGTCCAAGTAAGTCTCAACGAGCTCAAACCCAGAAAT